CTCACTACTGTATTTAAAGTCAACAAATATTCGGCGCATATTTATTTTCGGCTATTTTCGGCCTGATCATATTTGGCTGAAAATCTGCTGCAGCCGAAATTTTGTTTTGCAAGGTTCAGTGCGACAGTGTATACAGGCAGCAGCAGTACAGGCCGAAAATTTGATGCGGCCGAAATGTGTTTTAGCCCTGGGAGGCCGAAATTTGAATGGGCCGAAAATTTGTCGCCTTACACTACTCTGACTTGACATGTGCTAATAATATCAAATATAACAGAAACACAAGAGGGTGAAACTCCACATTTATGAAGCACACAGCCACTTCAGCGCTGAAGGTCTTTGCTTAGTTCATCCTGAACCGAAGGATCGTCACGACCGCGCTTTGCAAATCCCAATACACAAACATGTAGCGCGGCCAGATGAATGACATACCTGCGTTACGCCTCTCTCCTCCATCGTTGCAATTACCTGCCATGGACAAGAAAGAGGTTTTAGCAATAAAATAATAAAAATAAAGATGGGGCCGTAGACAATGGCTGAAGCTAAAGATACGGGGAAACAGACATTCTACTGGGCACGGCGATGATGTCGACAATAAGCCCATTACGCAATGATGTAATTTGTGCCATAAACACCCCGCACAGCCAGCCGGGTGTGGTCGTCTGGGGTGTTGAACAGTGCATTCCTGATCCCAGTGTACTCATATGTATTACTCATACGTTCCATACTTGGCAATGTGCAATGGGCTTATACATTTGCGGGAGAAAAATAATGTTGTCAAACGTTGATCCTCTAGTTACTTGCACAACTCATAAGATGATACAAGGCAGGAAGTGCAGCCAGCGTAACGGAAAGGTCAATTTCATTCATACCCCTGTTCACGCCTATCAGTACGAGTCACTCAGATTTACTTTTACACATATGCAGCAACGGAACCACTTTCAAGAATCAAGTTTAGATCAATACAACAACACTCAACACTTCAGGTTCAGAAAGTCAGAGAGAGAGAGAGGGAGGGGGGGGGGGAGGGGGAGAGGAGAGAGAGAGAGAGAGAGAGAGAGAGAGAGAGAGAGAGAGAGAGAGAGAGAGAGAGAGAGAGAGAGAGAGAGAGAGAGAGAGAGGGAGAGAGAGAGAGAGGGGGAGAGGGGGAGAGAGAGAGAGAGAGAGAGAGAGAGAGAGAGAGAGAGAGAGAGAGAGAGAGAGAGAGAGAGAGAGAGAGAGAGAGAGAGAGAGAGAGAGAGAGAGAGAGAGAGAGAGAGAGAGAGAGAGAGAGAGAGAGAGAGAGAGAGAGGAGAGAGAGAGAGAGAGAGAGAGAGAGAGAGAGAGAGAGAGAGAGAGAGAGAGAGAGAGAGAGAGAGAGAGAGAGAGAGAGAGAGAGAGAGAGAAGAAAGGTTATTGTCAGTGGAACTCACATCACGGCACGCTGTTGCCCATCTGGATGCTTCTGTATCAGATGTGGCCGAAAAGCAATATGTTTGGTCGAAAGTTGTCGATACGGTAAATACAAACGGATGACTGCAGGGCACAAGGATAGAGCAGAAAAAGGAGATAGCATTTAGCCGCCTCTGTCTTACACACCTTACACATGCCCACCCCTGGTGCTGCCAACCTTCTGTATTTTTCGGTATCTGTACGAAAAATCGCTCATTCGTCCGCAGTACGGAATTTGAGCAAGATGGTATGGAAAATTGAAGAGGGTCGATAAGCTACAGATATGTATGTAGAAGCATGGCAAACGCAAGTTGAGCGATGTATATCCCTGTGCCAACACACATTTTCTTTTTGTTCCATTCTTTTTTTACACACACACACACACACACCATGTACCATGTATACGCCCGTCGCAAGAGGAGCACGCAAATCTGCAAATGCACTGGATGTGCATACACACACAGCGGGCAGAACCCAAGCAAACCAGCAGTGCGTGCGTACGGTAGCTCAGAACAAAAGTGTTCAAGGACTGCCGAAACTTACTCGTCAGTGCGTGCGTACAGCGCATCTTCACCACAGCTGGCGGCTGACATATCTTCGTAGTAGATGGACGCCATGAGAGTGCGTTCCGAATCGGATTTGAACGCCCGAAGTGCGCCTGCGCCTAGCTCACAATGACGTGGCTTGAATGCTGTACAGGACAGGGACAAGCCATATGCACACCATTGTGTTCTCAGCGCCAGAAACCAAAACACACAATCATGGAGCATGTTGCTCAATAGCCCTGTCAGTCGTGTGCCTTGTTGTCGCACCACCTGTCTGTATAATACACACGCCATTGTGTTCTCAGCACCAGAAACCAAACGCACATATCATGCAGCGTGCCGCTCAACAGCCTTGTCAGCCGTGTGCCTTGTTGTCGCACTCTCTGACTGTATACTTATTATTATCTCGTTACCTTGGTGGACTGTTAGTCATAACTTGTAACTTACTGATCCTCTCTCTCTACATCATGCTAGATTTCTACTTCAGTTCGTGTTGCGGGCAACGATTCGCAGCGCATACCCAGATGTTCATGCGATGCGACCAAGAAGTTTTTAAACTGTTGAAGCCCATAGTACGGATATATCCATACCGGTGTACAGTGCACATACACATACGCACACACATGCACGCGCACACACACACACACATGCGCGCATCCACATATGCACACACATGCACGCGCACGAACACACACGCACACATACACACACACACAGTTACCTCTATCACAAATTCCAGTCATATGCAGTGCACCATTACAAGCCATAGCGGTCTCATCATCCACAACGCTACCGCGGCTAGACTTCATCGCGGAATCTACTAATTCCTGTAACAACACACAAACATGCGAACACACACATACACCATTGGACCATTGGACGCCCATCGCCAAAGGTGATGATAGCGATGCTACAGCAGAATCCATAGCAGCTTGTGCTGGGATTGCACCATTCAACAGTTTGCAAGGCTGACGAATTGGTCGCCACTCACGGCTGTTCGCGCACGGACATCTAACAATATGGAGTCGTTCAGTGCGATTTACGTAACGCGGTACAAACCTCATGAATACGATGGGAGTTTGTGTTTTGGGATGAAACTCATGTCACTCTCCGTGTGGTTCCACGATTTCGCAAGTCAAACCAGGATTTATTATTTGAAAGCGCTCGAGCGAGATACATGTACTCAATATCCAGACAATTTGAGAGAGAAGGAAGGTAAAAGGAACTCCTGTCATGGTCAACCAGCATCCTCACCTTTTCGAACCTCTCCAAGCTATCTCTGGTAGTCTGGATATTGATGCACGCACTGATTTTCAGCTTCTCCTCGTCGGGATCACGGGTGCATTTTTCAAATTTGCCGATATGCACTCGAACAAACACACAACTGGATCTATTCAATTTCGGGGCTATCTGTGTGCTTGCTGCCTTTTTCAGCAATACCCCACATGTCTACTGGGCAGTTTCCACCAGGCCTCGGCCTCCTGGACTCAACAGCGACTCCAGCGCCATGCCATCTGTCCCCTAAATCGCATGAAAAGGTAGCTCAGCATCGCACGCACGGGACCTGAAGTTTGTGCACGGGACGTGATAACACTTGGTGAAGATAGCCAGAAGATAGTCCTCTACCTGGGAAAACTGAAAGCTAGACTGGGAAAACTTCTGAAAGGGCTTCTTGAGGCAGGCATGTCAACGATGAATCAAGGAACGAGCGAGAAAGAAGGCTTGACTTGTGCAACGCGGAACAAACTGTTCCTGCGAGGAAGTTGGCCATGTGAGGTACCAGCGGAAAGCTAGTTTCAAGAGGAACACGGAATACCTGTTTTCCGGGTAAACCTGGCCTGGTAGCTTTCTAAATCGAGCGAAAACCACAGCGAAATCGGCTGCTGAGAATTTGAAAATTCAAATTTCCTTGCCGATCCAGCCCAATCGAGACTTTTGGCTGCCATCTTGTTAAATGTCCAAATTTCGCGGGGGAAAAAAACAACCGTGCACTATTCAGCCTGGTCTACATCACACAGCTATGAAGTGGCTTTTTCTGGCCAGTGAAATACACACATACACACACACACACGCTGCGTGACGCACACACACACACACATACACACACACACACATACACGCACATACACACACACATACACGCACATACACACACACGCACGCACACACACACACACATACACACACACACACACACACGGATGTGCACACACAGGAGAAAACACACCAAGACACACACCATTGGTAGACCTAGTTAGGTACAGTCAACCTCACAAACGACCTGGGGTACTGTAAAACGGATTATTTTAGCGACGGTGATATTTTAGCGACTTCAGCGAAAGGAATGTTTTCGCTAAAGTTTTGCCGCGCCAATCGGAATTTTGCATGTACAGTACAGTACTAGACGTCCTTCTTTTTAAAAACTCTGAAACTCGGATAAACCAAACAAACTCGGATTGCTAAAACTTCATCATGAATTGGTCCTGATTCAGAATACGCTAAAAACGTTACCCGCTAAAACAAACAAAATTAGCCATTCTACAGCATACAACTCATGAATAACGATACGATCTTCAGACATAGCGACCATTGTGAGGTTTAGCAACGCAATATGCCTTTTGCAAGAAAAAAGAGTCAAGTTGGGGGCGTATTTTTTTTTTAATTTTCAGGGAGCCTAAAGATTCGCTTGAAATTCAGGAATCTGGAGAACTTGGAATCGTTGAGGAAAACTTCAGGGACCGAAGAAAATTGTCGAGATGGGTGCAGTATCTCACCCGGGTGAAATAGAGCAGCTCTCAAATAGCATGGAGGCGATTCCGTTGCTCCTGCCGCATATCCAGTTGAATAATTTGGAGAGAGGAGATCTTTAGCTTGCCGATGAGGGCAAGATCAAGAAATTCCGCCGCTGGTAAGTGAAATTATAATTTTTTTACAGCTGCGCATTCAGGCTGAGGTACACCTTGGTGTGTGCCCTGGCAGGAGTACAGTCAGACCTCGCTTAGCCGCACACATCCGTTTTCCACAAAATATGCGGATAGGCGAGGGAACCGGATAATCGAACATTCATACTGTATGTATGGACTAGATATGCTGTAAATCGATAACCAACGATTTTCTTTTGGATAGCGAGGGATCCGGATAAAAGAGGACCGGATAAGAGGGGTCTGACTGTATCGTAGTGTCTTGTATTAAAGCCCAACTTGTATAGAAGCCTATTTTGAATACAAGCCTGATTTTCAAGATACACTGTCGGCACATAAGCCTGGTTTTAGTGTTGACACACATAGATACACCAGGTTTAAATAGAAGCCTGATGTGAATAGAAATACCTGATGTGAACAGAAGCCTAGCCCTGACATCATGGATAAAAGAGGACCGGATAAGAGGGGTCTGACTGTATCGTAGTGTCTTGTATTAACCCTTTGAGGCCCATAGTACGGATATATCCGTACCAGTGTACAGTGCATACTTTTCAAAGCGCAACCTGGCGTAACTCGGCCGTCCCTTGACCAAATCGGACAATCGAAAGGGCTATCGACATTAGAATTGTCTCAGCTATCGGCTCGAAAAAACCCGAAAGCGATCCGAGTTCGGAGAGCGGAGATACGAGACTCGAACTAAATTCGCTCAGCAGAGTCAACTCGAGCGCGTGCATTTTGAACTCGTTTTTAGGGGTTTTCCCTGACTCGTGGCCCACGCAGCTACAGATAGTTCACGTCGTCGCAAAGGCATGTTTCTCAGCTCTCCAGTAAAAAAATTTGAGCGATCTGCGATGCAATTTGTTGAAATGGCAGAGAATTTGAGTTGGGCGCTCGCAATGCTGGCTTTGGAGCGCCGTATCGCGCTGCGGCGCTGGTTCTGTGGATCGAGTGATGTATTGCTGGCTATCGCTGTGTTCCTCTGGCCAAGAGCTTTCCAGAAAGCCTAAGATCACCAAAATCGGCCAAAGGACACCAAAGTTACGACCAGATAAGTACCCGGGCTCGCGTATGCAGTGCATTTCTTGAAATAATTGTGGGCCCTAAAGGGTTAAAGCCCAACTTGTATAGAAGCCTATTTTGAATACAAGCCTGATTTTCAAGATACACTGTCGGCACATAAGCCTGGTTTTAGTGTTGACACACATAGAAACACCAGGTTTAAATAGAAGCCTGATGTGAATAGAAATACCTGATGTGAACAGAAGCCTAGCCCTGACATCGGCTTCTACAGGAATACGCCCGGCTTAAATACGCGACATTACGGGTACATAGAATGAGTAGTGGTCCTGACAGGGCTCACACTCACCGGTGATGAAATGGCCGAGGCCACGGTGAACTGAGAGACTAGCTCAATGAGCGGACCATTGCCGGTTTGCTGTGCTACAGCCGCTGCTGTGAAACATCATCAACGACAACAACAACGAGGACGACAACGACAAGAGAAAAAAATAGTTATGATCATTGCCACAGCAGTAGTGACAACGACGACGACGACAACAGCAGCAGCAACAGCAGCAACAGCAGCATTAGCAGCAGCTGCAATGGCAGCAGCAGCATTAGCAGCAGCAATAGCAATCAAGCGAGACTGGAATCATGTCCTGTTACACGGCACTCACCACAGCTTAGAGAGTCCGGCCGATCCGGGTCAACGAAACTGGGCTATATCAGCAGCAACAGCAGCAGCACCACAGCATAGTACCAACAGACAAGAACAGCAACGAAAACGCAGGGACAAAAACCAGAAATATGATTGCTTTAGTATGCCAAAGGGATGAAATCAACAGTAACAAAAGGCTCAAAAGCCCAAGCGGACTCAATACCAAAACACTATAGAAATATCGGGATACAGGCAATTTCAAGATATCCAAGATGGCATATTCGAAAGCATAATGAAAGGTACTGGATTTTCCAAAGTATAAGCCGTACCCAGATTTTTGTCATGAAATACAGACATCGGATGGAGAACCAAGGATTTAATTAAAAAAACAACATCTTACAACATCTTACTTATAACTGTTAGTGTTGGACACAAACTATGGATAACATGTCACATTTTGCTCCTTTCTTTTTTAATGCACACGCGCGCACACGCACGCACGCACACACACACACACACACGCGCGCACACACGCGCACACACACACACACACACACACACACACACACACACACACACACACACACAAACTAAATATGTCCTAGCAGGAGAGGAACTGGGACCAGGCAGCTAGACAGTTGCAGTGCAAGTTGCACAGGCAATGACACCTACCGATGCTCCGGCAACCAGTAGCTTATAACTGGCAAGGATGTCTTCCTGCTCCACCACTCCTATTAACTCCTGGACAGTGAGAAAAGCAAGTCGACCGTGAAAGCAACACATGCACACACACACACACACACACACACACAGCCACACAGACAGAAAGACAGACAGACAGACAGACACACACACAAGCAGACACACACACACACACACACACAGTGCGCGCACACGGAAAACCGTGCTCGACAAATCAGCACGGAAGGGGCCGCCAGGGCAGTGCAGTGCAGGTAGCCTAGCCTAGCCTAGCCTATACACGTGAAAGCACAAGCTTCATCGTGCGCGTCTGCCTAACAGCTGCTACAGGACTGGTGGTTGCAAGTGGAGCATATCCACCACTGTCACTCTACACAGACACCAACCACGACTCTGGATTTCCAGACCACATCACACACACATACACACACACACACACAGGGGCATAGCAGGGGGGGGGGGGGGGGGGGGGCTACGCGACTGCACAGCATTCTCATTTCTGGATAGCACATTCCATCAGAGGCTCCCTTTTCCTTCTTGTTTTAAACCTGTTGGGCGCCTTCAGGAAGTTATTGATCGTGCTACCAATCCTGGGTTGCTGGACCGTCCGTACTATCGACCTGAAAAACGATCATCTTAGAGATAAATTCCACATTCAACAAATGTCCACAGTTCGTGGAAATATGACACGCATGTAAGGGGCCATCCGGCAATATCGATAATTTTCACGGAACGAAAAAGTTTAGTTTATGACCCTCTCCGGCCCACCCACCCCCTTGAGCGAAAAATATATTAACTTGACAGCTAGAATAGACAGCAATCGATATTTTTCAAAAAGAAACTCTCCTCGACCCACCCACCCATAAACGAAACTTTTTCTCTTCGTGAAAAAGATCGATAATTACGGACGGCCCTCAAAGCACCGGCATACTAACCATAGATAATGCATCTTTATCGTCCCACTTCGGATGGCGATTGACCCAAGCACCGGCATACTTGGAGCGAATGTAACTGTCACGGATGATCCTAGCAGAAATAAGGGAGAAAACAAGCATGGACACACACACACACACACGCGCGCGCGCGTGCACACACACACAACACCTTGACTGTACAAACAGCAACCATACTGAATATCAACGAAAGCACATTCACTCGAGCACACACACACACACACGCGCGCGCGCGCTCACACACATGTATGTACACACGCGCGCGCGCTCACACACATGTATGTACACACACGCACACACACACACACACACACACACACACACACACACAAATAAGCATGTACACACACACACACACACACACCTCACACACACACACACACACAAGTACCCCTCCCTTTTTTTCTCTTATTCCCACACATAAAGAAGGAGAAGAGCAAGGCATAGCTGGACAACTAGCCACTAGCCATGGTGGAATAACTTACATCTCAGATTCCTCGTCAATAGGAGAAGAACGGCAATGTGTCATCCAGAAGTTGTTTGCTACACTGTTGCCGATAATAGTGTAAAGCTGCAAAGCCGGACCAAAGCACAAGAAAATGAAAAAGCAAACATTCCAGGGCCATCGCAAGGCGTTCTACATTGGTGCGGCTATGAAAATGTAAGGAAGGAGATCCGGGGCCCTTCCCCGTGAAATGTTTTGGAAATTTTGTGCCCAAATTACCTAGCCCATAATATTTCATTGCTTCAGAGATAAAACGATAGATGGACTCGGATGGAGAGCCAAGGATTCATTTGAACGATTTTTCCCAGCCGTGCTGAGACCCACAGTTAACTAGGAACTCATCGTGGGGTGGCACGAGGGAAACATGGATGCAGCGAATGGGATCTCCCATCGCTTTAGGAGCTGCATCTGCGCCTTGATCCTAGAGGGCTGTGCGTTGCTACGGATACAGGAAACTCAGTCTAACCAAGTCTACGCGAATCGTGAATTTTCAGAAGACACCATTGCGCACCGTGTATCCGGGTCATGCAAATCGCGACGTCACAAAAAGCAGACGCATTCCGGAGTGGCATGTAGCAGTTGCTGTTCGTTGCAAGTGTGGCATGTGGCGGCAACACGTGGTGTGATAGTGCGAATCGTGCTCAAACCCGTTGTGTGCGTGTTGCGCTCTCATTCTTTGGTCATGAAGCGGTGCAATGACTCACCTCGACGAGATCGCTCTGCCACATGTTGACATCGAGTTCGACCGAGCGTACTTTAGACACTTCAACACCAAGTGATCGATGAATACCTGGACAAGACAAGACAAGAACACAAATGCACACATAGCAAAGATGGGAAATGCTGAGAAGGACTAAATATGGTGTACACGTAAAGATGGACTACTGTACAGGCAGAACATGTCGTCGGTCAATAATTTCGTCCAACTCCAAAGAAAGAGAGTTCGTCCGGTTGTAAATCTCGTCCATGGATCATAAGAGTGTATTGAAAAGCTGGACAAATCGACATTCGTCCAGCAGTTAATTTAGTCCAAAAGCTCCTTGGACGAAAAAGACGAAATTAAATTCCAGACGAATATTTCTGCGTATACAGTAATAGAGAAGAAAATGGACCGAGGAACTACAAGTTACGCTATGATCTCCACTAACACCACCAGTTACTAAACAATCAGCTCATGTACAGTCGTCGCCAAAGAACTCCGGCCAATGCCATGGATACCAGTGGTGTGGTAAGCGTTCACGGGCGGTATGTCATCGCTCATGGTGGTGGTATGCATCCAGCCAGTACCATCATGCACAGCACTGAACGGGTCGCACGGCACTCTGCCTACATGCTGCAGTGTCTGGTCTAGCAGTAAACGGGCCGCACGGCACTCTGCCTACATGCTGCAGTGTCTGATCTAGCAGTGAACGGGCCGCACGGCACTCTGCCTACATGCTGCAGTGTCTGGTCTAGCACTGAACGGACCGCACGGCACTCTGCCTACATGCTGCACTATCTGGTCTACAGTAAGATCGGGCGCCGAAGAACGCAGGGGCACGAGCGCAGCCTAGGAAAGTTCTTAATTTTTTGATTCTAGCCAGACCGTTCTTATTCACACGCGCGCGGCGAGTCGAGTTACGTCATGACGTTTGTCATGTACATGTACATGTAGTGCAATGTAGTACTTCTAAACTAGTGAGTGTCGTAAATGGGAATGACTGTACATGTAGCAGTTACTGTTTACACGTGTACATGACATGTACTCACCTCCCATACATGTACAATGTAGATCTACGTGTAAATTCGCAACTTCGTGTAAGTACATGTATGAAAATTTTAAAAGTGTTCTTAAATCTGATAATTCTAGCCTGGACTGTTCTTAAATTTTGCCGGTTTTCCAGCCTGGGTGTTCTTCGGCGAGGTGTTCTTCGGCGCCCGATCTTACTGTAGCACTGAACGGACCGCACGGCACTCTGCCTACATGCTGCAGTGTTGGCTCGAGCACTGAACGGGCCACACGGCACTCTGCCTACATGCTGAACTGTCGGCTCGAGCACTGAACGGGCCGCACTGCACTCTGCCTATATGCTGCACTGTCGTGTCTAGCAGTAAACGGGCCGCACAGCACTCTGCCTACATGCTGCAGTGTCAGGTCTAGCAGTGAACGGGCCGTACGCCACTCTGCCTACATGCTGCAGTGTCTGGTCGAGGACTGCACGGACCACACTGCACTCTGCCTACATGCTACACTGTCGGGTCTAGCAGTGAACGGGCCGCACTGCAGTCTGCCTATATGCTGCACTGCCGGGTTGAGCACTACACAGAGTGCATATGCGCATGCAGGCCTGGCACATGCCGTGCACTAGGCAGTGGCAGTGTACAGTACAGCTACCGGTGGCGATCATGGCATTGGCCCGATTTTTGGTGACGACTGTAGTTCCTTGGTCCTTATTCTTTTCTCACACACATGCACACAAAAGGGGTGAACATACCTGAACACTCTATGCAGACAGTAACGAGGAGGTTGCACGATGCCCACGTCGGGTCTAGGTAGTGAACAAACAGACGCACACACACACACACACACACACGCATACACAGACGTACATGCACACACACACACACACGCACACACACACACACAAACAAACACACGGGCGTACACACACACACACACGCAAGAACTCTTGTTGATTCATTGTGCTATCCCAGTGAAAAATCGTGATCCCACAGTCCAACAGCCGTGCATTAAATACGAGTGGTTATATGTTTCATAAAACACGGCATTTGTGACAAAATTTACCACAACATTCCTGAAATCCACCACTGGAGAACTGATAGCTGCATGCACAGAGGTTATGCGGTTAAATCATCAGTTGAGATGCTTTGGCAAAATCGTGAACTTCCAGGGAGGCGCTTGGGACAAGTGAATACTAGAAATTAGAAATCTAGAAAGCTGACAAAGGTCCATGATCTCTCTGTGTGTCTGTCTCTCTCTCTGTGTCCGTCCGCCCGTCCCGTCCCGTCCCGTCTCTCTCTCTCTCTCTCTCTGTCTCTGTGTGTCTCTCTCTCTCTCTCTGCATACCCACAACACAACACAGTCACATACCACTTGCTCCACAATCGGCACACAACCGGTTTGCCGGCTCCCGGTACATAGCCTCCAGTATCTCCTGCAAGCAAGCGCACAGCAAAGCAAAGGGACGACAAAGTATATTTCCTTAGGTTGTTGCCCCTGTCCCATTAGTCACGAGGTCCCACTGATGATTGATTGTGACGAGAAAACCTTCTGGACACATAACTACTTTGGTTGAAATGTTTTTAACCGGATCCCTCGCCATCCGGAAGAAAATCCTTGGTTACGGATTTACAGTATATGTCATAATTATGTCAACGAATTATTTTAGTTTAGAATTTAGCTCCCCCCCCCCCCCCCCCCTCAGAACGCAAAACATTGTTGACACACACACATAATTAGACTCGGGTGGAGAGGCAAGGATTAATTTATATATGCATAATTATACAACAAAAGTCGCAAGTGTGCCACTGCTCCCACGGCCATGCACATGTTTCGAAGTTTTCTGATACGAAATTGGTCAACCCCCTCCCACCCCATAACGAAATTATTTCGTTTTGCGAAGAAAAAAATGTTCAAACGGTACATGTACATGTGGTCACCTTGCTGCGACTGGCTGCTCCACCGGAATTCTCAGAGCCAGGACCTCCGGCTGCCGCCATATCCGCCAGTCCGCAGAGGATGGCCGACTGCAGAGCACTGATCCAGGACTGCTGCTCCTCCACGTCATCACACTGGAATCTACGCGCAGGCAAGCGGAAACACGCGCCGTGTACACACACGCACGTACACACACACACACACACACACACACACACACACACACACACACATGCACAACATACCAAAGCAGCACCCACATACACACCAGCAGGGTTCGGATAACTGGGGTGGGAATAGGATTGTCCAACTT